CGCCTGATTAGACTGCTAGTAGATTTGGCTTTGAAATTCCACCGGGTAGGTCACAACATGATTACTGTCTGATGCAGACGCCTAAGGTTCGGACCCTGAACCAATTGAACTCATTTCGCCGACGTCTCAGAGGTTCTTGCTGCCTCCATCATCGGGGCTACGATGTAAATTTTGTTCCAATAATCCTCGATGGATGGCGTATGCCCATCAGCGGGTATGGCCTAATATGAGACGAAGTGTCTTGATTGGGCGTCGCGTAAAAATAAGCTTTAATTAACATGGACGCGACACTTTGAACGTTCCGACTGATTGTGTGTTCGCGTAATCTTGGGCCTTTCCATTGTAATTTTGGTTCGGGAAAAGAGATTTTTAAAGCTGTGATGGCATTTCATTTGAGAATTCAGTAAGATACGGAATAAAGAGTGTGTTACGGGCGAATGGTGAAGAGAGAATTGTGTAAGAAGTTACGGAACTGCTTTGGGACTGAACATTTAGTAGAGGCGCGCACTTTTATTGCCATGTAAAATTCTACGACCCGAGTGTTTTCTAGCTTCGATTTATACAGGCGGATATTTTAATCGCCGCCTTCGGAAATAAAATGACTAAAATATAGCACAAAGTATGCAATAGAACGAAAAGAGATTTCTTGCTTTATAATATTCGATGGATAGGAACTGAAGCACATGCGATGTGCCAATCAATCTTTATGGTCCCGTCGAGTTGGGTCACTCGAACTGTGGCCTGCCAGGTCGTCACATTGCATCTTACATCAAGTTATCGGCGCATCTGTTTCAAAGCGTTTTTTTCCTTCTTTCTTCAGTGGTACGGTTATCATGTGACAGAAGGTGTTACTATATTTTTGTAGGCATGGGTTGGTACCGCTGACGGTTTGATTGGACATTCAGTAAGGCATGTTTTGAACAGCGCGCACGTAGTGAAATGATTCTTGATGCTTTCGGCCCCTTTATCTGGAAGCTTTAGCGTTTATGGAAACGTCTTCCTTACATTTAACGACTGCGAGCGATTGTCGTTCGACTTTAAGACTGTTTTCTGAGACGCCATGTTGCCCCACCTGCCCCTACAAGTTAACAGCGGCCCC